CAGCATGTTCCAAACTTGTTACAACAACTGGGAACAAGCAGTGCGAACACAACTTGTCGACAGCTTATGAACAGATTTGTAACAACTTGTTTGCAGACCTGTAACAACTTGTGCGTTTTTACGTGTGTACACACGTAAAAATCTCACAACTTGTCAACAAGATGTGTTCGCAACAGGTTTGCAGCAAGCTTGTCAACAAAGTTGTAACAATGTTGTTATTTTATCAAGTTGCCACAGGGTTGTCACTCACAACTTGTTGACAAATTGTTGAATTGCAGGACGATAAGAAGTTGTTGAAACAACTTGTAACACGTATGTTGAGTCGAATCTCGTCCGGACTTTTAAGGTATTAAAATACCCCCCCCCCCCGAGAAATGCAGCACCGTCCTAAAAAATCTGCTTCACCATACATTTTCTGTTTTCGAATAGCGATTAGCGGAACGTCTGTTAGCGCGTGTCGATTTCTTGAAACGATTTAATTGATTTGTGAGCTCACGAGAAAATAGTTAGAATGTTTTCGTTAAATATCATCATGGTTAAATATGTAACCATGTCGAGGTTGTCATACAGTCATGTTTTCAAATATACTCTACTTTAGCAAGCAAATTTACTGTACTGTGCTACAGCAACTGTCCAGTCACGCACACGTGATAAAAAGCCGATTTATAAACTTTATAAACAAAAGATAAATGTAAAACGTAACAGAACGGCAAACATGCAGATTTGACCATCTCAAATAATGGAAATGTTGGGATAGTAGCGTTCCAAACTGCAGAGGCGAGTGGGCAGTAAGGCTCCCTCATGCACCACCCCATGGAAAACCTGCACCCCTTCTTGCAGATGAGGCTAGATCCGGTCATCCGGCCCTGAATTTCATTGAGTAAAAAAGTACAGTTAACTGCAAATGAAACAACACAACCATTTCAAAAACTTTATACCGTAACGCTCTACTCTAGCTTAAAAATATATACAGAATAAATTACTGTACAGTTGTAAAATAAATTAAATCGATACAACTTTTCAACGCTAACTGCCCGGACACCTTCAAATGAATTTCACGCCAGGAACTGACGAGTTAAAATAAAAGTAATAATAATATTTTAGCCTCTGCAACAGGAATGAATGCAAAGCGTGGACATCTGTGTCATATTTGTAGCACATAAAAACAGTGCAAGCAAAAGTTATCACCAATGTAGACAAGAAATAAAGCATGATTATCATTGCACAGGAAACTGAAAAAAAAACAAAGACATTGTCATAGGTTAAGAGATAGCTCACGCTGAGCTAGGAATGTTCGGTATGAGAAATTTCCGGGATCGGTATACCGAAAAAATTATACCGATATTATCGGTACACCGGTTTTCCTTTGATAATTATAAAGAAAAATTCTTTAATGGAAGTTTGAAGAAAATTTTGAGTAATTCTAAAAGGGAAAACGATAATTTCGAAGCTGTTTCGAACATGTTCTGAACGACATGCACGTACTCAGTGTAAAATCTCACTGAAGTGGAAATTCTAAATCATTCCAGTAGAAAATTCTTTAAATTGCCATTCAGTAGTAAAATAAAGGTTATGGTTTCGCCATATAGTTTGTAAAGTTAGCACGGTATACCGAAAAATTCCAGTATATTCGAAATTTCGGTATGGTTGAATATCCGGTATCGATATACCGATATTGATTTAATACCGATATTTTCGGTATATCGGTATACCGTACAGTCCTATCACGCTCTTATTAAGAGGAGAATCTTTTGTATGTTACGTAACACGCGCTCAAAACTGATGAATATACCTTTCCACTTGATTATAACTATATTCAAATTTTTACATTTTTGATACGTTTCACAAGTGGCAAACAAACTTACAAAGTATGTTTAGTCCTTTATCTGTAAAATAATACTAAAATGAAGAGATTTTAGATGATACGCCAAAGAGAAAATGATGTCTGAAGTTCAGTAAGTTTTGCTTATATTGCAGTACAAATATGGCGTCAATTTTACAGCAGCAATGATAATTGTATTTCAGTTGACAATATTTAACTATTATTTTGTGTTTCTTAACAGCCAGATCTACATTTAAAAGGTTGCTACACGCGTAAAAATCATCATGTTGATGCAAGTTGTTCACAACAGGAGCGAACAATGTTGTGCTGCACCCCGTGAACAATATTGTTAACAATGTTGTTGAACCATCAACGTTGTTGCAACTTGTTGACAATCATGTTATCAACTTGCAACAATATTGATGATTGAACAACTCGGAACAACTTGTTAACAATATTGTTCACGGGGTGCAGCACAACATTGTTCGCTACTGTTTGAACAACCTGATCAATTTTTACCCGTGTAGTAGGTAACCCCCCACATCCAGCGGAATTTTCCCGCCAAATGACATCATCAAATCCATCCAGCGGAATTTTCCCGCCAAAAGACGTCATCAAGAGGACGGAAGATATATTGAAATATAAACTTGGGCTTGAAAAAGCTTCTATAGGCTAACTGTAGTCCTCACTATTGACACATTCTGAGTCGATGAACAAGTACTTTAAGTATTATAAATAGCTTCCATTATATATTTTTAAAATAGCATTATTTTCATATTTTGTATGTATGATATAAATTTACAGCAAATAATTAGAAGTTGAGCTTAAATTCACTATAAAACACAGTGTAAATATCTCTCCATTTAAAAGCGCTAAGACTTTCCTTAGTGCTGCAAATTTGGCAAAACCTTTGCTGACACGTTTTCTAATTTTCGAAGGATATTGCTGAAATATAGAGTCAAAATCCGCCGCCATCTTGAAAATATCGAGAGCGGTGACGTCACAACTTCCTCTGATCTATATACATTGATTTATTCATATGCTTCAGAACGACAGGGACTAGGCTCAAGCGCAGTATACCCAATCTCGTTCCCCGAGCCTGCGATCCTCGGGAAGAAACGCGAGGCTCTGGGATAATCCGTTTCAGGGAGGAATCTGATTGGCCGTTGAAATGGCATGCGTAGTTCAATCTTAGCCACAATTCCTGGCTTCCAGCAACGGATTATCCCAGAGCCTCGCGTTCCTTCCCGAGGATCGCAGGCTCGGGGAACGAGATTGCAGTATACCAAGAGAAAAATGGCGTTGAAACATCGTGTGATTGTTCCTGGTGTTTTATATGCATTGTTGATGGCGTTCGTTGTCTACCTTTGGATTCACAATATAGTTACCGGGAAGACTTCCCTACAGGAATCTTTGACTAACATTATTTTAGCAGTGATTTCAGGTTTAATCGTTATCGTTGTCCCGGTGACATATATTACGAACATTCAGGCGAAAAAAGTCATCGCCATCGGTGAACAATTCAGCGAATATGAACATTGGTGGCTATTGTATGCCTCCTTGTGTCTTATTTTATGTACAATTTTCCTAGGACTGTATGACAGTCTAATTGTCTCCCTCGATTATGACACAATCACATTTATATTATTCATGTCGCTTTTACCACTGGCAGCAATCTCCTACACGACTAGGGATCAAAAAGACTTGGGAAAAGCTATATTGCCATATTTCCCGGCGTTATTATATATTTTCGATGGCATTGAGATGGTGGCATATAAATTGATTCCGACCAACAGAGTGTGGGTTCAAATTGTGATTTGCTTCGCTGTAATCATGTTCTACGTTCCTTCATTCTTGGAAATATATCATATAAGGTTTCCCGAGTTAAGAAATGGATCGATCTTTTCAGAAAGAAGAATCAGGCGCGCTCAATTCGTTTTCAGTTGTATATTCCTGGCCCTTCGTGTAGCGTTACTAGTGTACAATCCACAAGAATTAGTTATAGTTGTGTTCATTCTCAAGAGTAGTCTATTGCTGTTCTATCGTTGCGCAAAATTGTCAAATCTTCAGCATCGAACAAGCGGAGAGACTCTTCAGCATCGAACAAGCGGAGAGACTCTTCAGCATCGAACAAGCGGGGAGACTCTTCAGCATCGAACAAGCGGAGAGACCCTTCAGCATCGAACAAGCGGAGACTCTTCACTCAGGAAATATTATAGACTTTCTGAATACGTATGAACTATAATAGGCAAGCAGAATAAGGCAAACCAGAGTCTGAGATATGTAGTGAAGGGTGACTGTATCGCTTCGAAATATACAGAAGCATTACACCATTAACCATTACCTGTCGAAAGATTGCAACGTAAAGGCAGAACGTGAACCAACTCATTTCAAAAAGCCAGAAAGTGAAACACATTTCAAAAGATAATACTTCAAAGAACCATGCTCAGGCCAGATTAAGTTGTCAGTTCTTCTCATAGACGTAGTTGTGCCAAGTCAAACTGTACTCAATATAATTTTTTTCGTCTGAAGAACTATTGTGACTACCTATATATTGAAGAATATATAGATATTTTTCTCGATATATAATTTTATAACGGTGGAACATTGATCGAACAGAGTTCCTAGTTTATGCCTTGCATGAGGTTGTATATATGAACTCAAGCATTTCATAACATGCAAACCTTATAGTTTTCTCAGCATGCAATCTTTACAAAAATATATAATTTGACATGTGAACGTATTTTTGTTGATATACCATTTTCAAACATTTCTCAAGAATTAACATATTTAGATAATCGAGCTCTATAAAAAACAATCGTTATATTTTGTGTTTTTACCATAAGAAGAGAACATGTTTTGAAGTGAAATTTTGCAAGTCACAGTTACAGATCACAATATTTCCATATATCCTTAAGACCACATACAGGTTTACTAACAATAATATAATTATACAAAGACCATAAACAGAATGAACTAACTCGTATATTGCTCTCTATAGTATAGGCAATTCCAGCTATCGGAATAGTTAGCTTGTAAATTTCAAGGTAGAGTATATAATTGATCGATATTTAATATAATAAATTAATATATATATATATAGGATATTAGACGGTTGCGAGTATTAGACGGTTGCGAGTAGATATGGATTTTATGTTCTCGTGTCAAAAACAATATCTCACTCGCTCGCTGCGCTCACTCGTGAGATATTGTATTTGTCACTCGAACATAAAATCCATATCTCTTCGCAACCGTCTAATATCCTGTATATAGATCAGAGGAAGTTGTGACGTCACCGCTCTCGATATTTTCAAGATGGCGGCGGGTTTTGACCATAGATATAGGAGATCTAGATTGCTAACGCATACCTAGCGCAGGCGGGGCCTACATGATAAATCCAAGATGGCGGTACAAGAGGGCAAAAAGACTATAGATTCTATTACGAAAATCAATATTTTTGCATTTTTTGCCGTCGCATTGTTTTGAAACTTATTCGGTCAAATTGTATGGTAAAGAGAAACTTACCGCGAAGATTTTGAGCATATTTATGATTGAATTGGATGAAAACTCGCAAAATTATCCAGCGATAAAAGTTCGTGTATAGTACTGATATAGTACTATATATGTAACTTGTACAGTTTTGCTTTAATTTTTGCTCACTATTTGCATAGAAAGCAAATTATAACAGACCATAGATGATAGACCTTTATCCAGTGCTCTCATCAGTTTACTTCTCTAACAAGCAAGTAGGGGGTGGGGGTACATAACAGTTCATATTTCATAATTATGAGGACAGAGCAGATGATGATGAAAGATGCAAGTATAAAACACCATTCACAAGACTAGATGTTAACATAGCACAGTATTTCTGGCAATAAAACGTTCCAACTAACCAACTGACCATTTCACAAGAACTTTTATCGCTGGATAATTTTGCGAGTTTTCATCCAATTCAATCATATATATGCTCAAAATCTTCGCGCTACGTTTCTCTTTACCATAAAATTTGACCGAATAAGTTTCAAAACAATGCGACGGCAAAAAATGCAAAAATATTGATTTTCGTAATAGAATCTATAGTCTTTTTGCCCTCTTGTACCGCCATCTTGGATTTATCATGTAGGCCCCGCCTGCGCTAGGTATGCGTTAGCAATCTAGATCTCCTATATCTATGGTTTTGACTCTATATTTCAGCAATATCCTTCTAAAATTAGAAAACGTGTCAGCAAAGGTTTTGCCAAATTTGCAGCACTATCAAGGAAAGTCTTAGCGCTTTTAAATGGAGAGATATTTACACTGTGTTTTATAGTGAATTTAAGCTCAACTTCTATTTATTATTTGCTGTAAATTTATATCATACATACAAAATATGAAAATAATGCTATTTTAAAAATATATAATAGAAGCTATTTATAATACTTAAAGTACTTGTTGATCGACTCAGAATGTGTCAATAGTGAGGACTACAGTTAGCCTATAGAAGCTTTTTCAAGCCCAAGTTTATATTTCAATATACCTTCCGTCCTCTTGATGACGTCATTTGGCGGGAAAATTCCGCTGGATGTGTGGGGATTACCTACTGTTGCTAACTGTACAAACTTCAAAATAAAGCTAAAACAAAGTAATTTTGAGAGAAACGCCAAAAAGATTTTAGGTTTTGAACACTTTTCTGCGCAAAACACGCATCATTGAGAAAACTCTCATGCGGTTCAAACCCAAACCACGACAGCTTATAACAAAGTTGTTGACATACCTTTGGCTTGTTTTTGAGCGGAATGAGATCCCACATTATTCTCAGAATTTTCACTTTTGTCCATTCTCTTTTCACTATCACATTCTCCAAGACGCTCATTCTGACTGCCGTCATTTTTATCTTTTTCATTATTTCCTGATGTTTTCTCTTCCTTAGCAAAGTTTGCATTTCGTTCAGACTCTTTTTCACTCATTTCCACTTCTGACTTACTTTCCAATGATGGCTTGTCCTCTGGCTTGGAATATTTTTCCATTGCAGCTAAACAAAAACAACCAAGTAGATAGTTTAGTTTAGTTTAGGTTTCCTCCTGTAGTAACACTGGATCAATAAGATCCTTACTGGACCTCTAGAAAGAACAGTTTAGAACTGATAGAGCTATCCAGTATAAATAAAGTTAGTTTAGTTTAGGTTTCCTCCTGTAGTAACACTAGATCAATAAGAGATGATCCTTACTAGACCTCTAGAAAGAACAGTTTAGAACTGATAGAGCTATCCAGTATAAATAAAGTTAGTTTAGTTTAGGTTTCCTCCTGTAGTAACACTGGATCAATAAGAGATGATCCTTACTGGATCTCTAGAAAGAACAGTTTAGAACTGATAGAGCTATCCAGTATAAATAAAGTTAGTTTAGTTTAGGTTTCCTCCTGTAGTAACACTGGATCAATAAGAGATGATCCTTACTGGACCTCTAGAAAGAACAGTTTAGAACTGATAGAGCTATCCAGTATAAATAAATAAAGTTAGTTTAGTTTAGGTTTCCTCCTGTAGTAACATTAGATCAATAAGAGATGATCCTTACTGGACCTCTAGAAAGAACAGTTTAGAACTGATAGAGCTATCCAGTATAAATAAATAAAGTTAGTTTAGTTTAGGTTTCCTCCTGTAGTAACACTGGATCAATAAGAGATGATCCTTGCTTGACCTCCAGGGAGAACAGTTTATTTATACTGGATAGCTCTATCAGTTCTAAAGTTAGTTTAGTTTAGGTTTCCTCCTGTAGTAACACTGGATCAATAAGAGATGATCCTTACTGGACCTCTAGGAAGAACAGTTTAGAACTGATAGAGCTATCCAGTATAAATAAAGTTAGTTTAGTTTATGTTTCCTCCTGTAGTAACACTGTATCAATAAGAGATGATCCTTGCCTGACCTCCAGGGAGAACAGTTTATTTATACTGGATAGCTCTATCAGTTCTAAAGTTAGTTTAGTTTAGGTTTCCTCCTGTAGTAACACTGGATCAATAAGAGATGATCCTTACTGGACCTCTAGGAAAAACAGTTTAGAACTGATAGAGCTATCCAGTAGAAATAAAGTTAGTTTAGTTTAGGTTTCCTCCTGTAGTAACACTGGATCAAAAAGAGATGATCCTTGCTGCACCTCTAGGGAGAACTGATAGAACT